AGATGACGTGCCTACACCAATGGACAGTGCAGAGTTCGAACAATATGAAAAACTATTAAAAAATGCCAACCAAGAGTTATTCCCGGGGTGCGAGAGCTTTTCCGTTCTCACAGCCATTATGGAACTAATGCATGGAAAAATAAAGTATCGTATGTCGAACCAGTGTTTCGTTTAATTTTTGGGGGTTTTCAAGAGAATGCTTCCGAAGGACAATTGTTTGCCAAAAGACCATAGACACACGCAAAAGGTGTTGAATGGTCTTGGATTAGGTTATGAAAAAAATTCACACTTGCAAAAACAATTGTATTTTATTCTACAAAGAGAATAAAGCATTAGATAAATGCCCTGTATGCAATGAGTCGAGATTCAAAATGATATCTCAAAATAGAACGACTAAGATCCCACAAAAAGTTATGCGTTATCTGCCCTTGAAACCTAGGTTGCAGCGATTGTATATGTTGACGCATACTGCCACAAACATGAGATGGCATAAGGAAAAACGGGTAAACAACGATGTGATGCGGCATCTTGCAGATGGGGAGGCATTTCGATCGAATGTTCCCCAAGTTTGCTGCTGATTCTCGTAACGTTAGATTGGGACTTGCCACTGAAAGATTTAATCCGTTTGGGGTTTTAAACCAACACCACAGTACTTGGCCGATTTTCATATTTCCGTATAATTTGCCGCCATGGAAATGTATGGAAAAATAATACATGATGATGACTCTATTGATAACTGAAAATCCTGGTAAGTCAATCGACATATACTTACGGCCGTTAGTGGATGAGCTAAAAGATTTATGGACACACGGTGTGTGCACATACGATAAATGTACTAGCATGATGTTCACTTTGAAGGATGCAGTAATGTGGACTGTGAACAATTTCCCCGCATATGCAATGGTTTCCGAGTGGAGCACTATGGGTTATATGGCATGCCCTGTATGCAAGAAAGACATAACATCTAGTTGGCACGCCGAAAAAGTTTGTTACCTTAGTCATCGAAGATGGTTGCCTTGGGACCACTAGTGGTGAGAGAATGATAAAGAGTTTGACGGGGAGAAAAAGCATCGTCTCAGACCCAGAGAATGGTCCGATGCTCAGATTTTGGAACAGCTTAACCGTTTGGATTTTGCTCCTTTAGGGACCAATGTCAGTAGGACAAGACCTTCTACACATATGAATTGGACGCATAAGTCCATATTTTTTTAGTTCCCGTATTAGTCCAAACTAAAATTGAGACACAACCTCGATGTTATGCATGTTGAAAAAAATGTATTTGACACATAGGTCAGCATAATTCTAGATATTTAGGGCAAGACAAAAGACACAATCAAAGCTCGTCTTGATTTGGAACGAATAGGAATACAACGGGGTTTATGGATGAATAGGAACAATGATAAAGCCATAAGGGATCTTGCATTTTTTTCAATAAAACCGAATGACAAGAAAGAATTTTTAAAGCTTTTATCGTCTGTAAAGTTTCCCGATGGGTATGCTTCAAATATCGCACGTTGCGTGAACGTTGAAGGGGGTAAATTAGCTGGCCTAAAGAGTCATGACTGTCTTGTGGTTCTGCAACGCTTACTTCCTGTGGGTATTCAACATCTCTTGCCAGCCGATGTAGTGAAACCAATCATGTTGTTATCCAGTTTTTTTTTGCAATTGACGTCAAGAACATTGCGAAAAAACGAACGTTAATCAGTTGCACCATGACATTGTGCAAGTTTGAGAAGATATTTCCTCCACTCTCTTCACAAGTATGATACACGTGATGGTTCACTTACCAAATGAGGCATTGCTTGTTGGACCAGTCAACTTTCAATGGATGTATCCAATAAAAAGGTATATATTCCTCGTCTTTTTTATTAATCAATATTAAATATATTACGATTAGTAATATGTGTATCATATCGTTTTCTTTTGGCAGGCTTCTTGGAGACTTGAAGAAAAGTGTACGAAACAAAGCAAAGCCCGAATGATCCATTATAAAAGCTTGAGTGGCATATAACGCGCTTACATTTTGTGGAATGTATTTAAAGGATGTTGAGACAACTTTCAATCGTCCTCCTCGCTATAATGACGGGGGTGTGAGAAATGAGAAACTTTTAGTTTTTGCCCAAATTGCTCGACCATTCAGAGATCCTATTTGTGGCGAGTCATTTTCCAAGAAGGACATGGAGGTAGCACATTGGTTCGTACTCAACAATTGTGACGAGACACTGTCATACCTAGACGAGCATGAAAATATGATGAAGTAGGCACATCTTTTATATTTGTATGCCAAGAAATATCATGAATTGTTTCCGCAGTGGTTTGTTGAATATGTAAATTTGAAGTGTTTTGTATTGGACATATATATTGTACCAATTAAGTTGCTCGAACTATCAAATTTAAACGTTTGTCTAATATTAGGTGAATCAACTGAAAGCATCGAATTCCCCCGCGAACACTGAAGAGTTATATAACTTGGCGTTTAAATGAATTCGCGTTGAATTGTACTCGGGTTGCCATGTCAACGGCGTCAAGTTCTTAGCAGGTGCACGAGATGACAAGTTGTGTACGCAAAATAACGGTGTTCATGTCCCCAGGGGAGGCGAAAGTACAGACATTGAATTCTATGGTAAACTAACAAGTGTCGTGCAATTGCTTTACAAAGATTGGTGCCAAGTGATCCTATTTAAGTGTCGATGGTTTAATACAAACCCAAGTAGGAATGGAAGTGTGAAAAGAGATCATGGATTACTATTAGTGAACATTAGCAAAACTTGGTATGATGACGACCCTTACATCTTAGCAACCATGGAAAAATAAATTATGTATCTAGATGACCTTAAAGCCGGGAGGGGTTGGAAAGTTGTTCAGAAGATGGATCATAGGAACGTGTATGTTATACCAGAACAAAACCGTACTGACAACGACATCGACAATGTTGCTGACCAACGTCTTGAATCTTCGATGGAAAGTGGTGCGGAAACACTCCAAGATACTAATCTTATCTAAGAACCATTTCAGATAGAAGGAGTATCTTCAATTGAAATACCGATTCAGTCAATCATAATTGACCTCGGTAATATTGCACGATACGATGGTCCAGTGCTCACAAACGACAATGGTGACGTACCTATCGATGATGAGGAATGAGACACTGAAAATGATGATAGCAACGAAAGTGAAAGTTATTATAGTTCGGATGAAGATTAAGGCAATATATTTGTAACTTTTTTTTTGTAAAACACATGAAATGGTTAATGCATTATATAGAGTGATGGAAAAAATGGTATGAATGATTCCCATTTTATATGTGAATTACTTTGTAAATAAATTTGGTATGTTGGTATTTTATAATAAATTGTAAACAAAATAAAAAAATTTAAAAAACCATTTTAAAACATAATTGCATGACGCATAACAATTTTTGGTCGCACAAGCTAGGCCTGGCAATTCCTGACACAACCCAATAACCCGACACGACAAGCAAAATATTAATTTTATAATTTTACAACCCTAAAAGAAATTACTATAATAATTATATATATTAATTTAACAATTTTATACCCCTAAAAACTATAAAAATTATATATATATATATATATATATTAAATTAAATTTAAAAAATTGGTGACCATTGGATTGACTTAAATATACATACCATTCAACTTCTTAAGTGTTATACGTACAAAATAAATAAATTTAAATCCATTAAACTAATGGATACTACAAAATCTTATGTTATACTTAATGAAAGTATAAATAAACTCTACGTATTAGTGAATGTATCTTTTTTATGGGATACGCATTGTACGAAATTAATTTCAACGATTCAACCATCAAACTTGTTTGTATATGGTTCGAGATCGCATAAGCCGAAAATCGCAGAAAACAAACATTCAGAAATCAAGTAACGGGACAAAAAATTTCGACGGTTATAAACAAAAAATCACGATTTAACAGTTATTTTAAATTTACGCGGGAATATTGCGTGACGAATACATATATTTTGTCGCACAAAGTATATTTGCGCGACGAAATATATTTATTCGTCGCACAAGTGTCTGAAATTTCAATTAAGGTGCTTTTTTTTGGGGAAATTTTAAAAAACTTGCGCGACGATTGTTTAGCCTTGTGAGACAAAGACTCTTTCGCGCAAGATTCTATATTTTAACCCCCCCCCCCCTTCTTCCCCTCACTTCCCTCTTCTTCCTTTTTCCCTGCGTGATACCCTCTCTCTCATTCATCTCTTCGTCTCCAAGAGGTCATTTCCTCTTTAGTTTTTATTTTCAATTTTCTTTATTTACAAATTGGGGATTAGAATTAGGATTTTTTTGGTTTTCTTTTCTTTTTCAAATTGGGGATTAGAATTAGGGCAGTCGAGTTAGATTTAGGGTTCGTAAATTGGGGGTTACATTTAGGTTCTTAAATTAGAGTTTTTAGGGTTCTTAAAGGGGGTTAGATTTAGGGTTCTTAAATTAGGGTTCTTAAATTGGTGGCGATTGTCATACTGCAATCAAGTTTATGTCCAAGTGCTCAGGAAAGGTTATCATAGTGAGGGATAACAATAGGTTTCATAGGTTTGAAGATGGAAAGTGCACATGCGAAGATTAGTTCTGTAAACTTCCACATGCTTCCCTTTGTTTTTGTTTTCTCTATGATTGCACGTTGCTCTCTTCATCAAATATGCAGACATGAACACATCTAGAACATGAGTTCAGTGAGTTGGCATTTTTCATATTTCAAATTTTTGTTTTCTGGAGAAAAGGTTCAGCAATTTGGGATTTTTTTTTCATCCAAATTTGTGTTTCCTGGAGAATGATATTGTGTTGTAAGTTTTTATATTCTAGATGGGTATTTATTTGCTCTCTTGAAGAAATTTGTTTATCTTTTTTGGATACTGGGTGAGGTTTTTTGTCAACGAATACTTTCATTGCTAATAATGTCATTCTTTAACAAAAATACTTTCATATGATAAGATTGTCATTCTTGATTTTTTAAATTTTCAGGAGAAAAATTCACTAGCTTTTGGACGTACACTTTGGTCACCTGCATTACTTTATGGTAATTTTAATTACTATTTCCATAATTTTGTTACCTTCCATTGCTTTCTAGTATTGTTGTTTGACTTCAAGTTCTAGTGGTCTGCTCGAAAGTAGTCCCCATGGATTTTAATATTGTTGTGGTTGACTTGCTTTTTTAAGGTTCATTTGATGAGAACTTACATATCAAAATTATATGTTTTGGTTACTCTCTTTTCATTGGTTTTCTGATTGTATTCATTGACCAATATTGTGCTTCGATTTTTTAAAATAGAAGGTTATCATCTCTGCTTCTAGGGAGATGCAAAAAAGGTTATCAGTTATCTTCTGCTTCCCTTTGTTTTAATTGTGTTATAGCACCTGTTATGTGTATTGGCGTGATATATTGGACTTTGTAATTCCTAAGATGCCTAATGCTTTCGTCTTCTAGCTATGATGCTTGTATCCATGGTTATTGTTGAATATGTGCCATACTTTTTTGTTTCCATCCATTAACTTGGGTGCATGTTCTTGGTTTCTACCTACCCTCAAGGAGCCAAATTGTTAGCTTGTGACTTATTTGTCAATTGAATTCCCTGACATACACATAGCACGTACATACTAGATTTTGCCTCCAACTACTCCTTTATGCTAGTTTCTTCTTTTAAGTTATAATTGTTGGGTCTATATCCTATATGAGTTGATTAGTTTGTGTATAGTATATCAGTTTTAAGTTTTGTTTCTGCCAAACTTGAATTGGGTTTAGAATTAGGGTTTTTAAATTTCGTTTTAAATTTAAGTTGAATTTATTAGCATGTGTACGGTAAGTTAAATCTTTGTGTACGAAACAAATTGATTTCCAATTTTGTAGATGTCAAACCTCATTAAAACCCGAAGGGCGATGACTTCTACACCTAATCCGACGACTACACCTAGTCCAACGACTACACCTACTACTGCCATCACTGCTCCGGCAGAGATGGACCATAGGCCAATTAATCTGGTTGACCCAGTTGGTCCTCCAGTCCCACAGGCGCAGGCATCGTCGACTTCTTTGCTGGCGTTGCCTGTTAGCACTCAATGTATTCACCAGCGCCCCCACACTACGAACTAGATGTTGCCATTGGGATCCACAACTGATGCCTCGGGTACACGGCCAAGTATACAATCCTAATTCACTCCCTTATTCCCATGTTAACTGAATTTTGTTATTTTAGGTTTAATTTGTTAACTTATGTCATGTAAGGATTAAAAAGTTGTCATCGTTCCAAACCTTTTATTAAACTGTTGTGATCATTGTGTTGGATGCGTATATTGTTTATGTTATTTTCAAGATTTTGGGAAATGTTTTAATTATAGGGGAGGTTATGCCAAAATTTTAGTAGGATTTGTTATTAGTTTTGGGTTAATGATTTATTTTTCATCTCTTTGCAACGAAGAAAAACACCCAAGGACCTTGTCGGCAATTGAAGACGGCCAAGGTCACCCGGGTGACCAACGGTCATATCCCAATTGGATACGATGAGTGACATCGGGCAGCACCAACGGCGGAGTAGCATAGTGCATTAGCCAATGACATTGGGCATGTCGTGCGGACCTTTTGCCCTAGCGTTGCCTTTTTAATGCTTTTCATGTAAAATTTATATATTTATATTTATTACTGTCTTTTATTACTAATACTTTCAAAATATTTGTTACATTGCAGACAAACTACAATTTGGAGGACATGGACGAGGACATGTTCGCGTACCTCAATCAGCTCTTCTCCGAACACTACAAGCAGTGGAAGAGTGACCTGCACCAATGTTTCCAGCAATTTGATGATCCGCAGGTCACTCTCGAGGAGGGTTGTCCGAAGGAGTTGAAGGACCGACAAGATAGTTGGGTTTGGCTTTGTGGTCATTTTCAAGAGCCAGGCTTATGGTGCGTTTTTTATTACGACTTCTTTTGTTTTACTTTTTTTTAATTTTTACTAATGTTTATTATTATTTTTTATTATTTTCTTTAAGTATTACAACCAATACGTATTTTTTTTTTTAATAACAAAAGAAGGCGAAGGCAAAGGCGAACAAGATCAATCAGGAGAAGAAGACTCTTCTCCACCATTCGGGTTCGAGGCCTTTCTCTTATAGGATGGAGGCGCGACGGAAGGTATATATTACATCTTTCATTTCCAATTTTAAAATGCCGCTAATAAATTTTTTTTTTCTTACTAACATTTTCCTTATTTTTTTCGATTTCAGAAGGGTTCAAAATTTCCGGAGATTGACGTCTTTGCTAACATTTATGTTCGGCCTAGGAATGAGTTTACCGAGTCCTTTCATGTAAGTAATTTCTTATGCATTCAACATTTATACTAATTATTTCAAATTGTTTTCTATTAATAATCCTTTTTTTTTTCACAGGCGACTATGGTGGAGAAAAGTCAGTCGATGCTTCAAGAGTCCGCCTCCTAGCTTCTCTCGAACACGCCTATTGAGTATGTGGATCCCCTTGAGAATGCAGGGTTTCACATCATGACAAAGACGTTGGACCAGACTTTCGGTCGGAGACCAGGGACTTATTGTTGGGGGATGGAAAATGCCAAGCGGCGAGAGAGTATAGCCTCGTCATCCTAGCAGTCAAATGGCCAGGTTACGGCTTTGACGGAAGAAGTCGCTAGCCTAAGGAGTCAGCTAGCATCTTACAAGTCTCAAATGTCGATGCTTGTACAAACCCTCAGTTCCTCTGGAATACATCTCCCATGTTTATCTACATCATCGCCCTCATAGCCCTTCCACACTGAGCAAGCACAGCAATCAAGCTCGTCGACCTCTGACCCCGTCCCCAACCAGCAGTAAGATCCTTTAAACGACATTCCTATAGATTTTTCCGCTTTTTTTTTCATAGTTTTGTTCCTGCTTTCTTTTAAAACTTTATATTTGTACGTACATTTTTTTTATATTATAAATAAAAATTGTTTTTTTATATATTAATTTGCTTTCTTTTTTTTTTGTCATTAGTATGAAATCTTTTTTTTTCTTTTTTTTCTTTTTTTTGATAAAAATTACATTTGCGGAACGCTGACCAGTCGTCGCGCATTACCAAGCGCCTCTAACATTTTTCGTCATGCAAACTTTTCGAGACAAACTAGTCACAAAGTGCACTTGTACCCTTTTATATCGTAAGACGAAAACCTTCGTTCGTATAACTTTAGCGCGACGAGTAATAAAGCGTCGCACAATTTTTTTTTGCGTGACAAGTTTGAAATTATTCGTCACGCAATGTCTTTTTTCACGACAAAATACCAGCTTTTTGGTCAAAATGCAATCCTAAAGAAAACTAGGGTCTTTTTCCCATTAATCTAATGGCAATCATAAGAAAACTAGGGTCTTCTCTTATTTCCAGTTTAAAACTGGGTTTTTGGGCACGCAACGATTTGGGTGCCAAGGAAGAATTCGGGTTGGCTGTGATTCAATTAAATGGTGCCTCACAAAGTCGTGGTTGCGGGTTTCTAGATCTTAAATGCTCAATCCCTTGCAAATATATGGGGTTTGTAGCTTATCTGATGTTCAATAAATTTGGGGAACATGAGATAGAAGACTATGTGAGAGTTCATGTGCTATGCGGGCTATCTGGGGAACAAGTAAAGATGCAGGGCGCTGAAGTAGTGAAGATCTTTGATAGCGATGACGAAGGTTTGATGCAAGAACCTGACATTGTGAAAATAAGATTCAATTTTCATTGGATGCTTAAGGTAATGGTGGGGATTCTCGTACATGACCAGGGGGTAAGCTCTGCAAATTGTAGCTCCTCTAGGTTTATAAATTCTATCTCTAATCTTTTTATCTTTAGACAAAATGAGCATAGATGGATAGTTATCTCTAGTATTAATTTTATTGACTCTATGTTTGATGATGATGAGTCATTTATCATGCCATGTCACAATAATCTTGTTTGTGATTATAAAAGTGTTAATTTTGATTTCTTTGATGTTACGAATGATCTTGCTTTATACCTGGTTGTTAATATGTCAAATGTGAAAAGTGAGGATGCTAAATCTAAGGAGAACACTAGAAATATGGTTTATGCTTTTCTTAAAGTAGAGGTTGGCTCTATGAGTGCAGGGCCCAAAATAGGAATGATGAGTCCAAAGAAAAGAGTATGTGAAGTGGATGCTGTTAAAAATGGACCTAGTGGTGGTGACCCTCATGCCACTATTAGGATACTGAGTCCAAAAAAGAGAATCCAATAGGAAATTGCAATTAAGGAAGAGTTTAGTTATCTTGAAGAATTAGATTGATTAAGTGTCTTGCATGGAACTGTAGGGGTATTAGGAGAAATGAATTTCCTAGTAATTTTAATTTTATATGTAGTTTAGCTAAATTGGACCTTTTTTGCTTGATGGAGATTAAGGTGGATGTTCATAAGGTCCCTAGGAACTTTTATTCCAAGTTTTTTAACAATATTTTTTTATGTGATCCAATTGGCCGATCTGGAGGCCTCTGCTTATGTTGGAATAGTACTAAGGCTTTTGTTAGTATAATTTCTTCCTCTCCGAGATATATCCATTGTTCTATAAAGGACTTAGTTACTAATTTAGAGCAATTAGTTACTTTCATTTATGCCTTTCCCCAAAAACATATGCAGTGTGACCTGTGGGAGGAGGTCCTCAAGTTAGATCCAATTCATAATCTTTGGTGCTTAGTTGGAGATTTTAACAATATTGTTGAGCTTTCAGAGAAGGTTGGGGGTAAGCAAACCCATACCACGGACATGAACAATTTTATCAATTTTCTTAATCGTGGCAACCTTTTGTCTTTAAATGTGTCTGGAGTTCCTTTTACTTGGACTAATTGTCATACGGATCATACGGTTGTTTTCAAGAGATTGGATAGGGTGGTGGCTAACCCTTTATGGTTAAATATGTTCCCTAATTATCATTTGCATAACTATCATATTTTTGGTTCTGATCATAGTTCTATTTTATTATCTCTAAATTCTAGTGAGGAGAAGAATAACTACTTCTCGTTTAAATTTGAGGCTATGTGGCTTAATCATCCTCAGTTTAAAACATTTTTGCAAAATGCTTGGCATTGTGACCCTAGTATTAATCCTAAAGATAAATTCAGAGTGTGTGCTGGTAAGTTTAAATTTCTAGTTTGTAAATGGAACAAGGACATTTTTGGCAATTTAAAGGAGAAAAAGAAAGAATTGTTAAATAAAATTGATGAGCTTCAAAAACAAATTATGTTTAACAACTCTGTTGATTTGATGATGGAAAAATCTCTGTGAGATGAATTGAATCATGTGTTACTTTGTGAAGAAATTATGTGAGCCCAGAGAGCTAAAACTAATTGGCTGCAACTTGGGGATAAGAATACTACATTCTTTCAAACTGTGGCTACTATTCGTTAAAAAAAGAAATGAAATTACAAAAGTCAGAGATGAGAATGGTTTTTGGTGGTCTGTTGGTCAGGGCCTTGAACAGGTTTTTGTGCACGATTTTAAAAAGCACTTTTCCTGTGACAGTCCTCCCTCAGATGCTTACCTAAGTAATTTAGCGAATATCATTCAACCTTGTGTTTCTAATCATCATAATGAAAGTTTGTTGTCTCTTGTTACAGATGAGGAAATTTGGGATGCTGTGAGTAGTATTGGAGCTCTTAAAGCCCTGGGTCTTGATGGTTTAAGTGCAGCCTTTTTTCATGGTTGTTGGGACCAAATTAAGGGCTCTGTTTCCTGTTTGGTCAAAGATTTTTTCCAAAATGGTTCCAGCTTAAGACTCATAAATCATACTAACATCACTTTAGTTCCTAAAATATATAATCCGAAAAATGTTAGTAACTATAAGCCTATTAGTTTGTGTAATGTTAGTTATAAAATTTTCACAAAGATCATCATTAAGAGACTAAAACCTCTGTTAGATCTTTGCATCTCTCAAAATCAAGGTGCTTTTGCTCCGGGTATAGCCAATCAGGATAATATTCTTATTGCTCACGAAATGTTTGCTGGTTTCAATAGGATGAAAGGAAGAACTGGAGCTATAGGTGTCAAGCTGGATCTGGAAAAGGCATATGATTAGTTAAACCAGGATTACATTTGGTATGTTCTTCTTAGATTTGGTTTTCATAATCATTTGGTTGAATTAGTTATGGAATGTATTACTTCTCCTTCCTTCTCTGTGCTTATAAATGGGCGACCTCATTGTTATTTTTATCCAAAGTAGGGAATTCGACAAAGGGACCCCTTGTCCCCTTATATTTTCATCATTTGTATGGAACCGTTAATTAGACAGCTTAATACCCTAACAAATAACCCAAAGTCTCATATTGGTATTTTGTCCTCACCTAGAGGATTTAAAATCTCCAATCTAGTGTTTGCTAATGAATGTCTCCTGTTTGCTAAGGCCACGCCGAGGGGTGCGAGGAATATTCTTCAAATCCTTAATATGTTTTCTAAAACGGCAGGCCAACAAATAAACTTTCATAAGTCGTCCTTGTATTTTTTCAAGAATACCACTTCTCCAACTAGAATTGATATTGTTAATATTTTACATATTCAACATAAAACTACTATTGTTAAGTACCTAGGAATTCATAATATTGTTTTCTAGAAAGACCAAGTTAATGGTAATGAGTTACTTAAGAGGGTTAAGCAAAATTAGCTGGTTGGAAAGCAAGCACTCTTTCAAGAGCGGGGAGGCTTACTTTACTTAACTCTAATCTAACGGGTATGCCTAATCATGTTATGTCTTGCTTTAAGTGTCCTGACAAGATTGTCAATAAGCTTACTAAAGAGTGTAGGGATTTTTTTTCTGGGGTAAGGACAAGAAAATCTATCCAATGGCTTGGAATTCGGTCTATGCTCCTAAGAAAATGGGAGGTTTGGGAGTTAGAAGACTTGATCATTTTAATAATGCTTGTCTCGCTAAGTTGGGTTGGAAGGTAATGACTGAGGAGGATAACTTGTGGGTGAAGTTAGTAAAAAGTAAGTACCATAGAAAGGAAAATTTTCTAGATAATAAAATCATTCTTTTTACTTGGAAAGGTATCTTGAAAAGTAGGGATGTTATTCTTAAGGGTATGAGATGTAGAGTGGGTAATGGTAAGGACATTTTGTTATGGTCTCACAATTGGGTTTTTCCTTACCCATTGTTCCATCTCTTACCCAATATTGACAACCAAAACATTAATTGGGACTTGAAAGTTAATGAATTTATTGATAATTATTGTTGGGATAGGACAAATCTTTCGCAAGTGGTTAGTAATGAAATTGTGAGGAAAATTTGCAATATTACAATTCCCTAGCAGGATTCCAAAGATGTACTAGTTTGGGGTCCAAATACAAATGGTAAGTTCTCTGTTAAATCAGCTACTTGGATCCATAAAGGGACGTTGACTCAATCTACAAAGCATAAGTTAATTAATAAGATGTGGAAACTTAATATTCCTCCTAAAGTTAAGATGTTTGCGTGGTTGTTCATTCATGATAGACTTCAAACTAGGAAAAGATTAAGTTATATTGTAATTAATAGTGATAAGATGTGTCTTTTTTGTAATTCCGTAGACGAGGACCAAATGCATTTATTTTTTAATTGTGGTGTCACTAAATTGATTTGGGACCCTTGTTCAATTAAGTTGGGCAATTTCACTAATACTAACTTCGACTCAGCAATAGACTGGCTAAATTCTTTAAAGCATGTTGATAAGGAAGCTCCTAGTGATTTGAGCTTGTGTTTGCTCCTTTGTTGGCAAATTTGGAATGACCGTAATAATATGGTGTTCAGAAATGTTTTTCCCATCCCAGCAAGATCTAAGTTATTGGCTATTTCTATGGGTGAGCGATATCTTAAAGCCAATGTTAAAGGTTTAAGAAGAAATACTAATGATACTTCCACAATTGTTAAATGGCATCCGCTGGATAAGAGTTTTGTTAAGT